AGAGGAAAGCTTGGGATGTTTTCTTAGGTGAGGGAGCAGATCCCAACATATACGAGTGTCCCTGATTGCAACTGAGCTTCTTTTTGTTGATGGGATTGGAGATCTTTCTCTTTTGAGAGAAATGCATATTACACCCCTCAACTCTAGCCCTAATCTAAAATACACCCTCAACTCCAATACCGTCTAGTTTACACCCCTCAACTCTCAAAACCGCTCAGAATTCAACCCTCCCCTCCCCGTTGACTGGGTGAACAGTAACTAAAAATCAAAAAAATGTTTTGTTTTTTCATCGGATGAACAGTTAATTCAAAAAAGAAATTGGAAATAAAATTCAACAAATAGTTTCGATTTTTTTACTGGGTAAATAGTAAATTCAAAAGAAAACTATTTTTTCAAAAAAAAATCTGAATTATTTTTGCATGGACGGTTTTTCAGTGCGTGATGTCCGTGCCAATTTTCAGCTTGTTTGGACATTTGAGTGGTTCTCAAAAAAATAATCTGCCGACTAATGCACGAACAGTTAACTATTTCACAAACCCCGCATTTGTCTTTTTACTGAGAGTTACTCAGATGTCCGAACAAGCTGAAAATTGAAACGGACATCATGCACTCAAACACGTCCATGCAAAAATAATTCAGATTTTTTATTTTTCTTTTGAATTTACTGTTTGCTCAGTGAAAAAAAGAAATTATTAAAAAATCAATTTTTTTAATTTACTGTTCACCCAGTCAGCAGGTCAAAAACGGTCCATTGGGTCAAAACCAATCAACAGGGAGGGGAGGGTTGAATTCCGCCCGGTTATGAGAATTGGGGGTGTAAACTAGACGGTATTGGGGTTGGGGGTGTATATTAGACCAAGGCTAAAGTTAAGGGGTGTAATATGCACTTCTCTCTTCTCTTTTCCCCAGAAAAGAAACAGATCTCTTGCGTTCATCGAAAAGTGCAAAGCACCGAAGCATATATAATAGTATAAATTACATCGAGTCGTTGTTGCCTCTTTCATGTAGGAGCCGACCTGGCCTTGTCGATGATGGCCGGGAAGTATGCGTGCGCATACCCTGGAGTCACAGTCGTCGACATTGAACCCTCGACTCAATTTGAAATGTCTGATACCAGATCTTGCCATTCTGCACGTACGTCGAGAAACCTTAATCTCACCGCTTGAAGGAGACAACATAAATCTATGTCGGAGCTTCGTCGGCTCATTGATGCATCAAAGGCGCCCGAGCCAACGGTGGCGCACAAAGCACATAATGCTGCCTTGTCACATTTTTGTTACTTATCAAGATTTATGAACAAGTTTTATTTAATTGAATTTCATATTTTATAAAATACTTTAAATGTTACAAACAAATCCATGAAACCCCAAAAAACACGGTCTTGGTTTCCCATTAACAATGTTGGCGAGAAAACTAAAGTGGAGTTAGCTAAAAAGGCCATGCACAAAATATCGGCGATCGACGATACAGGAGATCAAATTTTGACGATGCCAAAACAAACTAATATGGATGATTTTTGTAACTAAGACCAACAAAAGAAAATACTATTCCTAATAGGTGAAAATTGAAGTACCGAGATAGTACCATTTGCTTGCTTTTTCGACCAGTGAAAAATAAACTTAGAATTGGCTAAGTCATGTAGACATGCAAAAATAACTAAAAAATGCACTTACACATCATGAAAACCATATAATTCTTTCTTTTTTGCTATAAAAACATATAATTCATGTTATCGTTGCCCCCATTTGGGACAAAATTAACACACACACACACACACACACACACACACACACACACACACACACACACACAATTAGAGTTGACTAAAAAGTATGGACAAGAAAAACATTAGCAACCATCCAAATAAGAATCAACATTTTGAACATGACCAAAATACTGGCATGTGGTTGGTTTCGGTAACAACGTCGACCAAGAAACATATCTAAGAGCTATAGTCATTCCCTTGCATTTTGCTGCCGCTCACTTTTGCAACCTCACGCTCAATTTGTTTTACAGACAAAAAAAAAGTTTTCGATGTTTCAAGGGGAAATCGGTCCTTGTGCATTTCGTCGATCTACGGTGTTTCTTCCATCTACAGCTTCCTACAGTTACTTCTACAGACTATAGCGATGCCGGTGGTCTACATTGGTTTCCCATGCCGACGTTGTCCGGGAAAATCGATCGGGGACTACCTACGCGGCGAGTCCCGCCGGTGAAGCCACTGTCGGTACGGCGGAACCCAGCTAGATAGCGGCAGCGACAAGAGCCCTACCATGCGAATGCTCCAAAACTGGGCGAACCTGTCACACCACCCGTTCTACAGCCAGCACGTACGCACCTCACTTGGGCGGCGGCGGCGGCGGCGGCGCGCTGTGGGGGGAGGAGGAGGAGTCCCACGACCACAGCCGCAGCGGCTCGTCGTGGCCTGGCTCCGGCGGCTCGGGCTCGAGGCTGGGCGGGGGCATCCCGAGGTCGTACTGGATGAAGTCGTAGGCGTCGCGCTCCATCACGTACCCGCCAACGTTGATGTACTCGATCATCCCGGGGTCGAACGGGGCGGCGGGCGCGGGCTTCTCCACCGCCTGCTTCATCCGCGCAGCCGCGTCGTCGGCCGCGGCGTTGCTCCGTGTCTGCCCCCACACCGCCGGCACCTGCACCTCGCCGCTCGCGTCTTCTTGGCCCGCCAAGAAGTTCTCCGCCGCGCTCTCGTCGCGCCGGGGCTTCTCCTTGAGATCCTCCACCAATTGCTTCGTCCACGCGGCATCGTCGTCGTCGGAGCACCGTGGCTGCCCCCGCATCCCCTGCACCCCGCCGCTCGCGTGCCCCTCGCCCGCCACGCTCTCGTCGCGCTGGGGCATCCCGAGGTCGTACCGGATGAAGTCGTAGGCGTCGTGCTCCATCACGCACCCGCCAACGTTGATGTAGTAGTACTCGACCATCCCGGGGTCGAACAGGGCGGCGGGCACGGGATTCTCCACCGCCTGCTTCATCCGCGCAGCCGCGTCGTCGGCCGCGGCGGTCTTCTCCTTGGGATCCTCCACCAGCTGCTTCATCCGCGCAGCGTCGTCGGCGGCACATGTGCTAAACAATACTCATGTTTGCTCGATGCTGATTCTGTGCAATGTTTTGTGTTGATACCGGCACATGTGCGTGTTATTAAAATTCCTAACCATAGTATGATGATTAATCAGATTTTTCATGACGTTGTTCATCGGCATATGGATACTTGTATGATTGTTGATGCATTAATCATATGCATAATTAAAAATTCTAGGGCTAGTCAATACAGTATGCTCATCAAAAGATATAGCAACTCGAACATACGAATTATGTACATCTATATAAGTAAATCAATTAACAATGAAGATTGCAAACTCTTTATCAAGGTTACTACAACAATTATCTTTGTAGTAACAATTATCACAATTAACCGTTCAAAGATTCCGTACTGAGTGGAGTCACGGGAGCGAGAATTCTTGAAGACCCAAAACCCTACATGCTTAGAAAGGCCCCCGTCTAAGAGTACAACGATAATGGGCTGCCCCAACTAGTTCGGCTTGGCCACCCCTAGAGCCTAGGAGTTAATGTCATCAAAGACTAAGAATAACGAAGAATACGAAGCATAAAATGAGGGAAGGGAAAATAGGAGATGGAAAAGTACTAGATTGATTCAATTGATTGTGTTTTTATCGGTCGTCACCGCTCATCTATATACGAGGCGACTTGATTTTTTCATAAAAAGACGAAATCCGCCCCCCTCCCCTCCCGGCCTTCAAATCTGACATAAGACGAGTGTGCCAAGAACCTCCGGGCCGGTCCAGAACCTTCAGACACCCTCTAGGTGGCCTTCATGGAGCCTCAGGGTATGTTGTTGCACACTTTTGTTTAGCCGAGAGGTTTCGGCTCCGAACTTGCTGTTGCACGCCTTATTTTAGACCATAACCTTCAGGCTGGGTTTGGGAGAAAGTCGCCCTCAAGAGAGGGCTTTCGGTTAGGGGGCTGAGTTTTTTCTTCCTAGAAAAAACAAAATGCTTTAAAATCAGACATCTACATTATCGATAATATGTATATTAGTGTATTTTATTGTTATTATATGCAAAATTACACTCAACTCCATAGGTTACAATCACCTTTTGTTTTACGATATTTCTATAGCTGAGTTTGTTTAGGCTATAGCATTGTGATTATGTACCGAAGGCACCATGTGTTAGCGCACCCACCATCATGGACCGCACCGTATGTTGCCCTCAATTCGACCTACGACACCATCTTTGAATGTTGATTTGGTCGGTCATTTCACTTTTTAGGATTTTATGAACTACTTTGTTTAATTGGATTTTGTCTTTGTAAAATACCTACAAATATTGTGTACGATTCGATGAAAATAACAAAATTCAAGAGTTGATTGCCCCCCTTTTTAAAAGTGTTTGTGGCAACATTCACCATGGCACCATACAACTACATCCAAAGATCCTAGCTCAACTGGACAAGATCAGACGTCACTGCCTGCGGAATAAGAACACTGAAAATGGTGAGAAATGCAATTCACTGGCCGCTTGCGGCATGGTTTGTCATCCCCGAAAACATGATGGTCTTGGAGTGATCAGCTTGCACATTCAAAACGGTGCGATGCTGCTCAAGTTCGCCAGAGGAAGGTTTTGATGTTCCAAGCCGAAATCGGCTTTGGTGCCTTTTTTATCCAGCCACATTTCATCGATCTACGGTGTTTCTTTGATCTACAGTGTTTGGTTCTACAGTTATTAGTACTACTAGTACTTCTCTGACTTCAGCTAGCAATGCCAGTTCCACGCCATGGCTGTCCGGGGAAATCGATCGGGACTGCGCGGCGAGACCGGCCGGTGAAGCCATTGTCGGTAGGTACTACGGAACCAAGCTAAGCTAGTAGATAGCGGCGGCGGTGACAAGAGCCCCACGATGCCATCCTCCAAAATTGGGCGAACTCGTCACACGGTGTTCTGTGCAGCCGGCACGTAGGCGGCTCACTTGGGCGGCGGCGCGCTCTGCGGGAAGGAGGAGTCGTCCCACGACCACAGACGCAGCGGCTCGTCGTAGTCCGGCTCCGGCGGCTCGGGCTCGAGGCTGGGCGGGAGCATCCCGAGGTCGTACCGGATGAAGTCGTAGGCGTCGCGCTCCATCACGTACCCGCCCACGTTGATGTAGTACTCGATCATCCCGGGGTCGAACGGGGCGGCGCGCACGGGCTTCTCCTTGGGACCCTCCAGCGGCTGCTTCATCCGCGCAGCGCCGTCGGTGGCGGCGGGCTTCTCCACCAGCTGCTTCTTCCGCGCAGCACCGGGGGCCGTGGCGGCGTCCCGTGGCTGCCTCCGCGTCCCCAGCACCTCGCCGCTCGCGTGGCCCTCCCCCGCCACCACGAAGTTCTCCGCCACGCTCTCGCGACGCCGGGTCTGCAGCCTCCGGATCCTGCTCCGTGTGGCATCGAGGGACTTGCCGACGGAACCTAGCAGCTCCCGGAGCGCGTCCTCCGGCATCCCGTCGAGCGGGCTCTCCCACGGCGCGAGCGCGGCGGCGAGGCCGCCCGTCCGCACCCTGGCCAGCCTGGACCCCTGCACGTCGCGCACGCCCGCGACGTAGTTGGCGTGATCGAACACGATCCGGGCCTCCTTCGGGAGCGCGAGGAACCGGCCCACCACCGCCCTCGCCGTCTCCGTCGACGGCCAGCACTGCAGGGCGCCCTGGCCGTCGAGGCCCGAGCAGAGCACCGCGACGGGCGCGTCGGCCATCTCCGCGAGCTCCTTCGCCTTCCTCATCAGCCCCGCCTTGCGCACCTCGAACGCCATCCGCCGGTTGCCGCCGTCGGCGACGGGGATCGCCGCGATGGGCCTCGTCGGAGCCCCGATCCTCCCCCTCCCCTTCCCACCAAGCGCACGCGGCATCGCGCTCTCTCCCTCTCCCTCCCTCCCCAACTTTTCGCTTCTGTCTGTGTGAGCCGGCGACCCGACGGCGGCCGTGGGCTTCTCTTCTTGTGCAGTGGGGGGAGGAGACGGGCTCGGAGTTGGGCTCGAAACGTTCTGCCAAAAGCACCCGAAACGGCCCAGCAAGTGTCGTTCCATTTCATTTCTGTTTCGGAGGAAAGGTCCAGAAGCGCCGCCGCCGCCGCAGCAGCGACACGCTCCCTACGGCATGGCGCCGGCGTACCTGGCGACCATACCCGCGCTCCGGCGCGCGGCGCGGCGGGCCCCGGCGGCGCTGTTCTCGTCGGGGATCGTCGCCGGCGACAAGCCCGTTCTGGTAAACGTCGAGGCTCTCTGATCACTCCGAGATCTCCCTGTAGTGGCTGCTTCCTTGACAGGGGAGCTTCCCATCGCAGGTGCGCGATTTCGTGAGGTCGGCGCTCTACGACCCCAACCACGGCTACTTCTCCAAGCGGTCGGGGCCCGTCGGCGTGCTCGACTCCGCCATCCGCTTCCACAAGCTCGACGGTACTGATTGCCCCCCTGCCTCTTTGCCGAATTCGGTCTGTTGGAGTACACTTGATCGACGAAGTTTGGATTTCTTCAGTTGTTTGTCGGGGCGGCATTTCCACAAACATGTTGTACGCGTGTGTGCTCGGAGTAGAGTAGTCTAAACACTATTCATGCATTGGTCAGTGCTGGTTATGTGCAATGCTGTGTGTGTTGACAACTCGGACATGTGCGTATAGCTGTAAATAATTTGGTGTTATATCACGCAGGGAGGAATGCGTACATGAAGCATCTTGATAAGCTGTATAAGATGCATGATATCTCTTGGTTTACTCCAGTGGAGCTTTTTAAGGTGCCCTTTTGTGCCTGAGCTGTTAAAACTTAAAAGAGAATGTGATCTCGATTTTCTTTCCAATTTAGCCACTGATGCATGTTTTCCTACTCTGGTGCAGCCATGGTATGCCTATGCAATAGCTGCGTCAATCCTTCGCACGGCTAATCTTTCAGTCCCATTGAAGGTGCACCCATAATTTTCCTGTCTTATAGCTTCACATCTCGATGGGCGAAGCTTCTAGATTCACTTGTGAATTTTGTCATATCATGACACATTATCATGTTTACTTCTTTTCTTACCAAGCCATCTGAATTGGATTCCTGTAATGATCAGATATATGAAATCGGAGGTGGATCCGGGACATGTGCAAAGTGCGTACTTGATTACATGATGTTAAATGCCCCGCCAAAAGTCTACAATAATATGAAATACATGTAAGCAGCTCTTTTGTCATTTTCCTTGTCCTACTTAATTGAAGTTGCTCAGCGAGACTACAGAGTCCTATTTGTTTGGTAAGGCCAAATAACGTGGTACGTACATACATGTATCGTCATATCAACATTCATAACATTGGCTACTTTCATGCTGCCTTATATTCTCACCCTTTCCAGCATTTTACTTTTAGGTTATCAATTATGCTTTGACCTTCCTTTCATCTTCATTTGCTAGCTCAGTAGAGATTAGCTCCTCCCTTGCTGAAAAGCAGTTGGAAACTGTCGGTGAAGTGCAGAGCCATTTGTCAAAGTTCACAGTGGAGCATCGTGATGCAACTGACGTAGCTGGATGGGGTAAGCTGGCTTCTTGTGCCTAGCTATCGATGTCGGATCTTTCCTACAATAACCCTTGTCCAAGATCAGTTACCTGAGCTTTGATCACCATTTTGCATTGTTTTCAACCTGCAATAGCTCATATTGTACTATATACAAGTCCCTAGATTAACTTTTATGCTGTGCTGACAGATGTAGTAAAATAATTGGGGATGACACTGGCTCCATTTCTACTTATATCTCCATTCCAAAATCACATATATATCCAGCATTCAGTCTCAGGGTATCAGTATTTACTAATTACTATTACAGTATTACCTTTGAAATGATTGGTTTTTCCTATTTCCATTTGCAGGCAGCAAGGATCCTCAACCATGCTGGGTGCTAATGCTTGAGGTATGTACTGCTAGGATTTGCCCAGTCAAAGAAACAAAACGCCATCACTGTTGTCATAAAGTGTACCAGCAATTAGTTCACATTGGCTAGAAGCATACTTTTTTGTGTCAAACTTCTTGAGTTTGACAATGTAAGATGTTTGTAAGACTACTTCCCAGTTCTTGTGCCATCACTAGTATCTCTATTTGGGCTTGATATTGCAAAAGAGCGCTGATGCTTTCCCTGTTCCGTTTATGTTTGCTTACCATTTTCATGTAACAGTCCAAAATAGGGTCACCAGTCATGTCAGGCATGCCATCGTATTATTGCCATGCTGGTACTACTGGCTGATAATAATTCTGTCTGCTATATTATCTGCATTGCTAATATGTCCTGGTTCTGAGTGAACTAAGCTAATCATAATATATAAATTTTAGTTTTGCAATCGTATCTTAAGGGCGATGTTCGTGCAGCAGTAACTTTCTTTTGGTGGAATGTCAGGTACTTGACAATCTACCTCATGACCTTGTCTATTCACCAGATCAGGTCTCTCCATGGATGGAGGTGTGGATTGAAAAAGTAAATGGCAGGTTTGTAAAAAAAATTTCAAATTCCAAACTCCTTTTTAAAATTTAGCTAGAACCTTTGCTCTGTGTTATATTTGAAGAGTGCGTCAATAATGTGGATTCCTAGACCTGGCAAACACGATCTCAAGTATCCTTTTTCTTTTGCTCTTAGATTCACTGTTTATGTGGGATGGTAGTTCAATGGGATCCTTGACTTGAGAAAATATGATAAAAGAATCAGCCTATGGTGCCTACTGATTTTCATATTTTAAACGATTCCTTAATCAAACATTTTTGGCATTTTGCAGAATTCTCGTTCCGTATTAGCTTGAAGGATTGGATTTTGCTACTTATTGCTTGACTCCAATACTATTTGTTGTTCATGCTGGTGGAAATATAGTTTTATGCTAATATGTGTTCCATTCTCAACAACAACAACAATAACGCCTTTCTGTCCCAAACGAGTTGGAGGGCTGGAGTTGAAACTCATAAGATATTGAAACCAAGCCATTGTTCTGGCACGTGGATAGCTAACTTCCACGCACCCCTGTCTATGGCTAAATCTTTGGTGATATTCCAGTCCTTCAGGTCTCTCTTTACAAACTCCCCCATGTTAAGTTTGGTCTACCTCAACCTCTCTTGCAATTATCAGCGCGCCTTAACCGCCCGCCATGCACTGACACTTTTGGAGGCCTATGCTGAACATGCCCAAACCATCTCAGACGATGTTGGACAAGCTTCTCTTCAATCGGCGTCACTGCAACTCTCTCACGTATATCATCATTCCTGAGCCGCTCCTTTCTTGTGTGGCTACACATCCATCTCAACATGCGCATCTCTGCTACACCTAGCTGTTGGACATGTCACCTTTTAGTTGGCCAACATTCAACGCCATACAACATCGCAGATCGAATCGCCGTCCTATAGAACCTGCCTTATTAGCTTTCTGGGACTCTTATCGCAGAGAATGCTAGAAGCTTGGCGCCACTTCATCCATCTGCTTTGATTCGATGGGTCACATCTTCATCAATATCACATCGAGGTACCACCTGCCCATCAAGGCTAACTTCTCATCCTCATGTCTGGTAGTACTGAAACCACACCTCATGTACTTAGTCTTAGTTCTGCTAGGCCTAAAACCTTTCGATTCTAAAGTTTGTCTTAACAGCTCCAGCTTTCTATTAACCCCCGCCCGGCTATCGTCGACTAGCACCACATCATCCACAAAGGGTGTGTTTGGTTGCATTCTCATCTCAGCATAGTTGTTCCCTCTTCGTGCATGCTCATCTCACCACCCCTCTTCATGCATGCTCCTAGTGTATTTGTGTTAAGCTAGTGTGGACCCATGCACCCTTCATACACTCTACCAAACACCCAAAAGTGGGTCGAGAAGGGAACTTTTGCTCTCATGCACCCTTCATACACCCTGCCAGACAGACCCAAAGAGTACACCATGGGATATCTTCTTGTGTATCCCTTGTGACCTCATCCATCACCAAAGCAAAAAAGATAAGGGCTTAGAGTTAACCCTTGGTGCAGTCCTATTTTAATTGGAAAGTCATCATTGTCGCCATCACTTGTTCGAACACTTGTCACAACATTGTCGTACTTGTCCTTGATGAGGGTAATGTACTTTGTTGGGACCTTGTGTTTCTCCAAGGCCCACCACATGACATTTTGCGGCATCTTATCATAGGCCTTCTCCAAGTCAATGAACACCATAGGTCCTTTTCCTCCTTCTCCAAGTCAATGAACACCATATGTAGGTCCTTTTCCTCTCTGTATCTCTCCATAAGTTGTCGTACCAAGAAAATGGCTTCCATTGTCGACCTCCGAGACAAAACTGATTTTTGGTCATGCTTGTCATCCTTCTTAAATGATGCTCAATGACTCTCTCCCATAGCTTCATTGTATGGCTCATCAGCTTAATTCCATGGTAGCCAGTACAACTTTGAATATTCCCCTTGTTCTTGAAGATTGGTACTAATATACCGCGCCTCCATTCTTCAGGCATCTTGTTTGATGGAAAATTGAGGTTGAAAAGCTTAGTTAGCCATACTATCGCTATGTCTTCAAGGCCTCTCCACGCCTCAATGGGGATATAGGTCGCCTTGCCTCCTTTCATCCTTTTAAAAGCCTACCTGACCTCGGACTCCTGGATTCGCCGCACAAAATGTCTGTTGGCATCATCAAAGGAGTCGTCTGACTCAATGGTAGAGTTCTCATTCTCCCCATTGAACAACTTGTTGAAGTACTCTTGCCATCTACGCTTGATCTCATCGTCCTTCACCCGGAGCTGATCTGCTCTCTCCTTGATGCACTTGACTTGGTCGACACCCTTCGTCTTCCTCTTGGATTTTGGCCATCTTATAGATGTCCTTTTCGCCTTCCTTTGTGCTTAAACACTGGTAGAGGTCCTCATACGCCCGACCCCTTGCTTCACTCACGACTCGCTTTGCCTTCTTCCTTTCCACCCTATACTTTTCTATATTGTCTGCACACGTATCCAGGTGTAGGCGTCTGAAACATTCTTTCTTCTCCTTAATAGCCTTCTGGACATCATTGTTCCACCACCAGGTATCTTTAGCTTTTCTTCTACTTCCCTTGTCACTCCAAACTCCTCTGAAGCCACCTTCCAGACGCAAGTCGCCATCTTTATCCACATGTTGTTTGCATCAACTCCTTCCTCCCAAAAGCCTTCCTTAATAACCCTCTCCTTGAAAGCCTGAGCTGCCTCCCCCTTGAGCTTCCACCACGTTGTTCTAGCGACTTTGGCTCGCTTATCCCACTGGCATGAATTTGAAAGCGGAAGTCAGCCACCACAAGCTTATGTTGAGGGACAACACTCTCTTCAGGTATCATCTGTAGCAAGCACGTCTGTCTTCTCTTCTTGAGAGGACGAAATCAATCTGGCTAGAGTGTTGGCCACTACTAAAAGTCACTAGATGGGATTCTCTCTTTATAAAGAGGGTGATAGCTATGATCATGTCGTAGGCTAGGGCAAAGCTGGAGACATCCTCTCCTTGATTCCTGATGCCATAGCCAAAGGCCCCATCCACCTCTTTAAAATCTGTGTCGGATGTACCCACGTGGACATTGAGGTCTCCTCCATTGAAGAGCTTCTCGCCAATGGGTACACTCCCAACCATGTCCTCTAGGCCTTCTCAGAACTCCCTCTTGGTTCTCTCATTGTGGCCTACTTGTGGGGCATACGCATTGACAACATTGAGGACTAAGCCCCCAACAACTAGCTTGACCAGGATAATCCAGTCCCCTTGCCTCTTGACATCTACCTCTCCATACCTAAGGCTCTTGTTGATCAAGATACCTACTCCATTTCTGTTGGTGGTTGTCCCCGTGTACTAGAGCTTGAAACCGCTATCCTCCACCTCATTCACCTTCTGTCCCCTCCATTTGGTTTCTTGGACGCGAAGGATATCAACACCTCTCCTCACCGCTGCATCAACTAACTCTCGTAACTTACCCATCAGGGATCCTACGTTCCAACTTCATGCGGATCCTCCTAGACTCGGCTAGCTTCCTTGCCCTTTGCACTCATCGAGTCAAATGCAAAGACCCTTGCTCATTTTTTGCTACACCCTGGCGCCGACGTAGCGCGTCACTAACAATGCGATGACCCGATCCTTGCTCACTTATCACTGTATCCAGATCAAGATACGGCGCGCCACCAAGGGGGTGAGGGCCCGGCCCTTGCCCATTTAACACCACAACCGGGTTCCGGTATGGCGCGTCGCTAAGAGGGTTACGCCCCAACAATGTTCTTCTGGGTTTCATCTCCAAAAGAGTGGCCGAGTTTTGATGTTGGCTCGCCAAGCATATCACAATACTCCTTTACCCGGGCTTGGGACCGGCTACGCTGAGACAACATAGGCGGAGAGGGAAATTTCTTTGCAAAATAATATTATAGTATTCTTTTACATTTTCTTGTGCCACGGGCCCATGGTGCTTTTTTTTAACTTGATTCAGGTTGTATAGTTCCTTATTTTGGTTGATGTTATTGTGGAGGGCTGCCACCTTTTTTCTTCTAGAACATCAATAATTCAGCATCTTCCTTGTGCTTTTGGCTATAGCTATTTTTCTAATTAATATTACGTGCATGTTTGCTCTGTATTGAGAACAGACCTCTTTTCACTATTATTGAAATTATCTAGCTAGTAGCTACTTTATCTCTTTATCTCTTATACTAATCAATTTTTCTTGCCTTTTTCTTAAGAAAGTTCACAAGTCTGTGAGGTCTACAAACCATTGCAAGACCCATTAGTTTCCTGCTGCAGTGAGATTGTTGGCATGAATGAAGAGAATCCATCTTTGAGAGAAAAACTATCATTCGCTGCAAAAGGACTCATCTCAAAAGTATTCCCGAAGCCTCGGAGAGCTTGGTTACCAACCGGATGCTTGGTATGTATTTCAGACCTTCTGCTACTTAGTAAGATTATAAACTACTGTTGTCCCGTTAATGTTGGATGCTAGTGTATGTGCCAGCTTACATCCAGAGTTTTTTTTACCTTAACGCAGAAACTACTGGATACTTTGCATCAAGCTTTGCCAAGTATGTCCCTTATTGCTTCAGACTTCAGTTATCTTCCTGATGTTAGCATACCTGGCGATAGAGCTCCATTGGTTTCTTCAAAGGTGATCGATTTATTATTTCACTTTTATGACTATTTGGTGCATTCCAGTAAGGCAATAACCAGTGTCAATAATATCAACTGAGAATGGTAGAAACCATGTTTTCCAGTCATATGTTGATCATGCAATTACCAGCATATTTGATGTGAAGATCATGCGCTCACTTTCAAATGTCTCATTCATCTTGTTTCCTTCTTGTAGAAGGATGGGAAAACTTTGGATCATCCCAACTATCTTGATGCACGGGTTTGTCATTTTCACTTTATTCACACGTTCGATTACGAGCTGTTATGTCGTAGGCAGACAATCTATTCCTCTTACTGGAGTAGCCGTGTAAATCGTCTTGAAAAGAGAACCAAGAATAAAAATAGAAAACAAGCCCTGATGTAGTTTGGTGCATCTTTTTAATACAACTTTTGCGCCGTATATCAGTAATCTTGGTTATGCCACCTGCCACTCTTTCAGGGCGATGCAGATATCTTCTTCCCAACCGATTTCTTGCTGTTGGAGCAGATCGACCACCACTGCTCTGGTTTCTCGAAAGACCAGATGAATCGTGGTGCATTTAAACCTGTGAAGAGTAGGAGAACAATCATAGTAAGTTCAGCTTGCACGTACCAATTTCCTCCCTTTGCGGCACAGCTCACTTTGTGCCGAATCCGAATTTAGTTAATATATTTGTTTAACTTCAGTACTGAAGAGTAAGTTGCTATTTGACGTTTTTTCCAGCTTGATTCGGCTGCCTTTATGGAGGAGTTTGGGTTGCCACTGAAGACGAGGACCAAAGATGGATACAATCCACTTCTTGATGATTTCAGGAACACAAAGTTCTATCTCAGTGTGCCTACCCACAACAAGTAGTAGTCCAGCATGCCTGCGTCGCTTCTTCTGTTTGCCATGAGGCGCTGCATTAGACGCCAGTGAATACCTAATATGCAACTCAGTAATCAATTTGTCAGAGCAGGTTATTTATGTTTTTTTTCCTGTAGAAGACCGAAATTCTTAGGTTGGTCAAATTTGAGGCCACAGTTCAACTTCAGGCATGCTGCCGCCTTTTCTATGTTTGATTGATGGCACGGAAGTGAATAATACCATTTGAGGCCACAGTTCAATTCACTTACAATCTGTGCTCCCTCTGTTTCATATTATAATCGTATGTATATAGTCGCATTTTAGTGTATAATTGCATTTTTGTATGCTTGTTTCATTTCAATCCGTATTGAAATATCCAAAACGTCTATAATTCGGAACTACTCAAGGATCCTTCTGTGCTTCTGTTAACATTGAAAATAAAAGTAAACATATGGAGTTTGGAAAGAAAAGAAAAATGCCTTTGGTACAACCGTACAACAATTGCTGAGTAACAGCTTTTACATATCCACCCCCAACCCATAGCGACAAAATATAAGATGGGAGGACATGATTCTTGGAGGCTATTCTGTTTACTGTCCAATACAACGTTGTATAGCTCCAACATTTTCGTTTCATCTTCTGTAGAAAGAAAAAAGAATGGTTACATCAAATGGCTCCAATATACAACTTCTCACGATGCTATGACCAAAACCGGGCAAAAAAAATTATGTAAATGAAGAGACATTCTGTATACTAAAGCTTCATTTTCGCTAGTTGAGTTTGCTGGTGCGACGCTTTGGCCCTCCAGGGAAGAGCTTCATTATCCAGCCAAGCACCCTTTCGACAACCTAGACAAAAGTATCATATGTCAGGCACGTATAGATAAACTGTTCGGAGCATTTCTGGATGCAACACAAAGGTATAGTTCATATAACTGGCACACCGAATGCATGTTAAGATGAAGAAAGCTCTCAAAGATCTACAATTAGCTCTGCTGGTAGGAAATACCTCGTCCCCTTCATCAGCATACATTGTTGCATCATTGAAGTGTGTGTCGACCTGTCTTGCAAGGACATTCTCATTGGCCATCCTTTCAGAAGTCAATAGCTCAAGTCTCTGTGTCTGAGTCTCCAGCTTTTGTGTTAGATCCCTGTTCAGCTCCTTCAAGACAAAAGAGTAACTTGCATAAGATTGCTGCACTGTAACCGAAGTAATACAAGTGTATCTTGACTGATAAGTCTACCAGTAAATAGGGTTTCTAAGTACAAAAGCCTGTCGCAGAAGTGCCTAGGGCTTAATCATCTCATATGGTACAGGCATCTTATCAATATTGGTTGGGGAAGAAGAGCCCTGGACAAAATTAACTGAAACAAATGTGCTGCGTAAGAATACCTTCAGCTTGGAGCAGTTGGATGACTCGATTCTCAGTGCCCGCATTAGCTCTTCTCTCTCCACTGCTAACTGCAAAGCAAAAGATAATAACATAAGAGTGGTTAAATTTTGGGTCCAAAAATCAAGTTAAGGTTGTTTGGGAACAACTCGTTGATGTGAGAAAGTAGCCCTAGAAACTCAAGAGATTACCTCCGACATCAAGGAGTTGATGTTGTCAATCATTCTGAGCTGATCGTCTGGAATGCTAGAAGATGCCTCTCCGAAGGAAGGAAAATCAGACATATTATTAAACTGTGAAACAGATGTTCCAACATCTTGTAATGGGTCACTGGTACTGGTCAGTGTTTGTGAAGAGCTGCTTTCCCCTGTATCTGAACAAATATATTTGGCGTTAGGCAGAAAGGTAGTCGGCGTGTATGGGCTGGGCAAGCAAAGATGGATTGTAATACCGCACCTAAATCCTCCGTCGCAGTTGATGCATCTCTTTTGTCGACTGATGGTTTTTCTATGACATTTACCTTCTCACTCACAGGAATGTTTCTCAATTTAGAGTGTAGGAGCTTCTTTTCTGTCCAAACATATGGATATTAAAGTCAAATGGTGGTAACAATGGCATGTATAGGTCATGTCTACACGCTACCTGTCTTATTCCAAAAACACCAATATCTAGTTTTACTTTCATTATTAGATAGTGAAACAAGTGCCACAAGGGTGCATGAGGCTAAAATACACAAGTTACAAAGTGATTTTCTAGGACTGACCAAGATCGGAAAGTTTAATGGAAAATGTGTTGTTTGTATGTGCTAAACTAAAGTACACATCTATATACCTTCTTGAAGAGCCTCAACAGTAGATTGAAGATGTTGACGTTCCTTCTCTAGACTAGAAACTTTGCGTCTGTGTATATATAGTAAGAGAAAAATGAAGGAAAATAATCAGTATCGTTAGCTAGTTCCATCCTTTGGCAAGTTAACATATGATTCTCATGTTTATTAGCACAGCAATTTCAAGCATCCATGTTTTTTCTTTAGGTAACCATGAAAAACAAGAGAGCTCTCCCACCGTATCCTTGAAAGGTGCATTCATAAAATTGCAACATGGGGATTAGCAAAACAAAATAGCTCAAAACTCACTTGTAGGAAGAAATCTCTGAATTTAAACCCTCCACTTCCTTTTCAAGTTTCAACTCATTTGACCTCAGTTTAAGAGCCTGCAGAATTGACAGATGCATCAAAATTGGTAGCTGCTGAAGCTAACAATGCTCATGTTGATGTTGTGGGCGGAGGATGCAGCCCATGACCAAGCCGGCGGAACAGAAGATCACAGCACTAGTGTGGAAAGCAATAGTCGTGCCTATATCTTAGTTATAGCCTTATAGGGAAGCTATCAAGTAGTATAGATAGTTATGTTACGGATAGTTTAGATGGTTTGTTATTTCCAACTCTATATGCCCTATAGGCTGAGCACTGTATTCAAAATATTGAAGCAACGAGAAATCAATCTCGCCCCAAGTTTGTCTACCTCACCCATGATCTAATCCCATCACCTACCAAGCCAACTACACCTGGCCATCTTCCTGGTGGTGTTTACCCAGTTCTGCACCTTGGTACAGTACACAACGGTCCAACTCTGGCTAAATGCTGGAAACAACCTTGCTACAATGAACATAAAACTAAACATGTATACTGAGGCCAGATAGCATATGGAGTTACTTTTTTTTTTTTACCACAATATATCTGATAGTTATGAACTACAGGGGTATCACATACTCAAAACAACTCATTTTCTCAAACAGCATCAACCATTGTATCCTCCTTAGAGGGCAGGTCGATTTGCAAGATTAAATAGCTAATGCACAGGAAGCAATCGAGGAGATAGAAAGGCACCTTATCTTCCAATAGAATGACTTCTGCTGCGAGTACTTTGCCCCTCTCATCTGCAGCATTGCATTCTAGTTGGGCATTGGCATATTCCGATCTGATGGTCTCAAGTGCCAGCTGTTGTGCCAATAGAGTTAGAAAGAAACACAAGGTAGCATGTGAAATTTAAAGGCTTCAAAGGGGAAGAAAACATGTTCATAACAAATATAATATTCACATTAATATGGGAGTTGCACTACACTAGCATTGATCACATAGATGATCCATACACGACCAGATCAATAAGTCAAACATAGCAAAAGCAACATCAGCATTTAGTGAGTCCTACAACTGAGAACACTTTCAAATATTCACATATTTCGAATGCTAGAAATGACGGAAGAAACCTAACCAGTTGAGCTTGAATTTCATCCTGCAACCTCTCCATGTCAGAGGTCAACTGGCTGATAACGTGTGCCTGATATTTGCAGATGGAAAAAACAATGCATAAAGTTAAAACCAATTAAAAATGAGTAGAACAAAATGACAGTAAGTATTTATTCATGCTTACTGTCATTCTCATTCATGGAAGAATTCGATGATCTACTGATCGATCTTGCTATTTTTATCATTTAAAACCTGGGGATGTGACTTCAATTTTTTGTCTTGTCTACACTATGTCTTGTGTCCCATTTTTACAGGTATGTCTTGTGAAAATACTCACTAAGAAATCAGAATCAAACTAAAATTGAGCTTCATCACAGAGTAGATGAGAATTAGTAGGCAACCACTTTGCTGACATGTTGTGCTAGTTTAACTTAAGGTACCTTAACGAGGCGGAACACTGAGACAGCAAAACACAAAATTTTGAAATTAAGTTTACTATGCCCTATCAGAAGCTAGTAACTGAATTATGTTAACATTCCAACTTCTTGTTACTACTATGATGTGAAAATATCTCGCTATTATGGATTTTTTTGGTAATTATTGATGAATTTTTTCATCAACTGATGATACCATATCCACCTCCCACTGATTGCAAGAAAACCTCCATGGAAACTTCTGTGGACGTGCACATACCTGTTGGTTGAATTTATCTGTCAATGCTGAGTTATCCGTTGCCAAATTTTGGGCTAGTTCTTGAGATTTCTCTAAAGTCCTTTGTAACGAAAACTTCTCTGTTGTCAAATCTTCAATGAGCTGGTAACCAAACCAGAGAAGCTATGAGCATTATGTTGAAGGGCCTAAATAACAAAATGTGCATGCTAAATTGCTAATTGCAAAAGAAGTACTGTCACAGCACATCAAATTATGACTGTGTTGGTCAGAAATCTGGACTGATGAAAAACAAAAATAAACAATTACAACGCGACAGAACGCTAACAAAGAAGCAATTGCATCTAAGGAGCCAAGCGTATATGTGGTAACAGAACCTTTTGGAGTCTTGACAAACAATCAGTGGAAAGATAATCTGCGGTGCAACCTCTGGGTTACGTACAGACAGCAACTATACCAACAGTTAATTTAGTCACAACTTGACATTTTTTGTTTGCAACTAGTTCTGGGTGTAACTGGCATTAAATCTAATAGCGCTAAGTTAACATCTACTTTTGCATAAATCAGGCTACTCTTCATATTATATGCCTTCTGTAAAATTTGCTACGGCAATGCTGGTTCATATAATCAAGGAAAACAAAGTTAACAAATAGATAGTGGTTGGCATTCATCACCTGCTCTAGTGATGCAAAACCGTCATCTTTCTCACGACTTGTGAAATCTTGGAACATTTGATTACCATACTGCAGACTTTTTTCATCTTTGGAAGGCAAGGAATCAGGAAGTATAGAATTGCCATATGGCCCCTTTTCACTATTATACTCTTGTCTCCCTGCTATAACAGAATTATCCACGACATTGTTTTGTGTGGATTGTTGGCTTGGCTGCTGAACAGAAGAACTCTCGGAATTTGAACTGCTGAATAGCTTATTGCTTGCTTTCGAAGGTTCAACGTACGGGGCTTCTGCTGGAAGAGCTCTTTGTACCCCAATAGAATCAAGAAAAGATGGCCGAGATCGATTGTATGCAGTTGGATAAGCAGTTGACAGAAAAGGATCCTGTTTATCAAAATTAGCAGATGTGGAATTTAATGCATTCCGAAGCATTCCAATATTTGCATCATGATCTAAACCATCAGCGACCTTAGAACTACTAAAGATACTGTCATAGTCCCGGTTGCTGGTATATGCAGAGTGCCCTGCTTGGGAAGAGTCTTTGGAGGTAGCTGCACAAAGGGAAGAAACAAAGGTTTAAAGATCTGCATAGTCAAGGCAGTCATTAGGCATTGTAGCCAACACATATGAAAATAGAGCTTCAATCTTACCTCGTGAGCGGCCGAAGATATCATTTTCTGGGGAGTAATCCTGAGAGAAAGTGCTTTCAGACTTCCCAAGAAGGTTGCCGGATGAAAATGAACTGGATTGCTCGATACCATGTACTTGACTCAACAAAGAATTTCCTCCCCATTTTGACAAGACCTCAGTAGACTGGGAACCACTGTCAGTGTTTCCAAATGCACTTAATTTAGATGTTAAAGGGGCATCCTTGCCAGGACTGAGCTCTACCCTTTTACGGGCAGTATCGCCTCTCCAATCATCGTGATGCCCATTAACTAGATCGGAAAAGCTCAAGTTTCCATAAAACTTGCTCCCTCCGTCATCAACAGAATCTTGCAGGGGGGCAACAGTAGTAACATTAGCTGATGCATCTGCAACTACAGGACCATTCGACAGAAATCCGGTGACTCTGGAAGAAGTGGTTGGGCCATTCTCATAGGAAGCAGATGGCGCAGATGATGTGCTTGGTGTGCTCGAGTCCAAAGCAGACACCAAACCCTCTCCGGTGTTACCATTATTGGAATTTGGCAGGGGGTTCTCCACTACGCTGGGAACCACAGGCGCTGCCTGGTCTACTACAGCGGCGGTGGCCTTCTTCGCGGCCTTCTTCTTCTTCTTACGGAACTCCTCCAGCTGGTTCAGAAAACAGGACAGTGTCATTCTTGAGCCAAGCTCTACTCAAAATCGTGCCGAATTAGCATTCAACGTAAATCGGTGGTGTAGAGAGGGCTAAATAGCAAAATATATACTGTATATGGTTTCAGCATGAGGGTGGCATGATGGGAGGCGAATCCGGCGCCATTTGGCTTCTCTAGGATGAGCTAAAACGATTGTTTGAACTACAATCGTAATGCTAGCTCGGTAAGCAATGCTGCACATCCATTTTCTCCTATTCCGTCGGGCGCACCGGGGCCAAAATGGTGTTGATTATCAAGCAATTGCCGGTGACCGACGGCTACGTAAGCAATAGGCAACAGCGAGGGCCTACCGCTTTCTTCCCGGCCTGGCGACTCGCCTCGCGCGAGGACGCGACGTCGGTGGAGGCCGACGCCGACGCCATGGGCACCCGGCTCCTCCCGCCCCAAACCGAATCTCGGCGAGATCTCCCTGCCCGGAACCGCCCGCGGCCGGCCGGTCCAGCCGCCGCCGCCGATGGCGATCGGGCCCGCCGGGGGAGGGGCGAGATCTGGCAGGCGACGGGATCGGGGAGGGAGGGGAGGGATTCGGGGGGATTCGCGCTTCCGCCCCGGCCCCCGAAGTAATTTTCGGGCGTCGGCCTCGCCTTCCCCCTTCTCTTATTTTTGGTGCGTGCTTCGTGCCTCTACCCTCCCACCTCGTGCCCGGTCTCTGTGGAGACTGGAGTCCGACCATTTTTACTTTCTTTTTCCTCGGGTCGCTGCTGCACTGCTCCTGTTGGTTGCGTCGTCGCGGTCGCACGGCTGCTTTGCTGGTGGTTTGAGTTTCTTCTCGGCGACTGCCCGCTCGCTCGTCAGGTTCGGTTTCGGCTCGTCGGGGGTGATCTGACGGCTCAGGCGCATCTTCAGCCGCACTTTCAGAAAGGCCTCCTCAGACGTTTTTTTTACGCCGGGTCGAAAAAACGGCCCAGTCGCGTTTTCAGGAGCCCAATTTTCGCCGGCCTAGGCCGAAAACAGCGCCGGCGGATCCAGGCCGAACCCGGCGCGCTGGGGGGCGCTGGGGCGAACTGTTTTGGCGCGAAAAAGCCGCGGGCCAGCCGCGTCAGGGACACGGCGGCTCGTCTTCCCGCCAACTGCCTCGGTTCCCGCGGGGAATCAATGGCAAGGCTGCCGCCGGTCAGCCTTGCCATTGATTCCTCACGGGCGGCGCGTCTCGGGACGGCGCGCCGACGCCTCCCCTCTCTCACGCGCGTACACACAGCGCGGAGCGGCTATAAAAGCCGGCGGTTCTCGCCGGTGCCCACACCAGACTCGCCCCTCGCCGCCGCCCAGCCCCTCTCTCTCCGTCTCCGTCTTCCTCTCCCGAGCGCCACCGGCAGCCCCTCTCTCTCTCCCTCTCTACCACCGTCGAGCCCGTCGCCATGGCAGAGCGCTTCCCCGGAGACGAGCCGGCGGCGAACGGCTTCGGCCGGCGTTCGCTCCGCGAACAGGAGTCCTGGCTCCTGTTCCAGGCGAACATCCCGGCGCCGCCGGACATGCGCGTCGGGCCGACGGGGTGGCGGCTCAGCGGCGGGGGAGTGCCTGTTCCCCTGTTACCCGACGCCGTGGCGAAGCCCACGTACTTCGCCAAGGAGGTCGAGGTCGCGCGCGCCTCCCTGACCGACGACGAGCGCTCCCTCCCCTAGTACGCCGCCGACAATCACGCGGCTTGGGCGGCGTACTTCCAGCGCCGCCAGCAGCAGCGCCTGGCCTCCACCAACGACGCACCGGTGGTCGGCGGCGTGAAGAACAATGTGGGGCGCCACCTGTGGTGGGGCGTCCCGGGCCGCACGCTGGAGGGTGTGCCGACGCACCTCGACGGCAGCAACAACCCGCCATTGACCTATCCTGCGACGGGGGCCGCCCCGTCGCAACACCGACGCGCATGGGCGCCAAGGAGGTTCGCCTCCTCCTCGTCTTCCTCCTCTCACTCATCTTCCCACTCCTCCGGTTCTCCGGTGCTTCTCGGCGTCAAGGTGTAGCCCGCGGCGGAGACGCCAATCGGCCGGCGCACTCGCAGCGTCGGCATCGTCATCAACGAGGGCGGCCGGCGCGCCCCCTCCTCGTCGGCTCCTCCGTGCTTCGTCAAGCCGAAGATGGAGCCGGGGCTGGCGCCGGTGAAGACGGAGTCGGGGCTGACGTCGGTGGAGGTAGAGTTCGACAACGACGACGCGGTCCTAGAATGGGCGCGCCAGGACTCCATTGCGATGGAGAAGGCACGCCAGGAGAAGGAGAAGGAACGCCAGCGCGCCGCCCTGCGCCGCTTCGAGGAGCGCCGACGCGGCCGCGTTGAAGACGGGGTCGTCGTCTTATGCGACAACGACGACGTGCCGCCGCCAGTCCGCCATGGTGACGCCGGGCAAGGGTCCAGCAGGGGCGCTTGCGTCAAGGAGGAGAAGGCCGACGACGACGATGGCGGCGACGACTTCAGCCCTTTTCTTTTCTAGATTAGGTTAATGTAATAAAAATGCGCGAATTTCACCAAAATTTGCCATGTTTGACCGAAATTTAACTAGTTTTTATCATAACTTCGCCGAACGGTCCTTTTTTTTAAATATGCGTCTGGGGGCGGCCCTGGGGGCCGACGACTGGGGACCGACTCGCCCCAGGGCCATTTTTTTCGCCGGCTCACCCCCAGGCGGCGCTTTTAGACGCCCCCTGGGGGGCCAACGACTGGAGATGCCCTCAGCTGTCCACCACATGGCAAACATGGTGTGCAGACGTGGCTCAGCTCACTACTTTCTTCTTTTTTGATTTGGCAGTTGGTGTCTTTTTTTCCGCGAATAAGTAAAGCTTGAGTATCATTCATTGATAGGTAGAGACAGGGGCGAATCTAGTAGGGGGGGGCTTTAATAGGCTTGAGCCCCCCCTCCAGCACTGCAAGAATTTTTTTGTTGGAAATATGCCCTAGAGGCAATAATAAAAGGATTATTATTATATTTCCTTATTCATGATAATTGTCTTTTATTCATGCTATAATTGTGTTATCCGGAAATCATAATACATGTGTGAATACATAAACACCAACATGTCCCTAGTAAGCCTCTAGTTGACTAGCTCGTTGATCAACAGATAGTCATGGTTTCCTGACTATGGACATTGGATGTCATTGATAACGAGATCACATCATTAGGAGAATGATGTGATGGACAAGACCCAATGCTAAACATAGCACAAGATCGTGTAGTTCGTTTGCTAGAGTTTTTCCAATGTCAAGTATCTTTTCCTTAGACCATGAGATCGTGTAACTCCCGGATACCGTAGGAGTGCTTTGGGTGTACCAAACGTCACAACGTAACTGGGTGACTATAAAAGTATACTACAGGTATCTCCGAAAGTGTCTGTTGGGTTGACACGGATCAAGACTGGGATTTGTCACTCCGTATGACGGAGAGGTATCTCTGGGCCCACTCGGTAATGCATCATCATAATGAGCTCAAAGTGACCAAGTGTCTGGTCACGGGATCATGCATTACGGTACGAGTAAAGTGACTTGCCGGTAACGAGATTGAACGAGGTATTGGGATACCGACGATCGAATCTCGGGCAAGTAACGTACCGATTGACAAAGGGAATTGTATACGGGGTTGCTTGAATCCTCGACATCGTGGTTCATCCGATGAGATCATCGAGGAGCATGTGGGAGCCAACATGGGTATCCAGATCCCGCTGTTGGTTATTGACCGGAGAGCCATCTCGGTCATGTCTACATGTCTCCCGAACCCGTAGGGTCTACACACTTAAGGTTCGGTGACGCTAGGATTGTAGAGATATGAATATGCAGTAACCCGAAAGTTGTTCGGAGTCCCGGATGGGATCTCGGACGTCACGAGGAGTTCCGGAATGGTCCGGAAGTGAAGAATTATATATAGGAAGTGCAGTTTCGGTCATCGGGAGAGTTTCGGGGGTCACCGGTATTGTATCGGGACCACCGGAAGGGTCCCGGGGGTCCACCGGGTGGGGCCACCCATCCCGGAGGGCCCCATGGGCTGAAGTGGGGAGGGGAACCAGCCCATAGTGGGCTGGTGCGCCCCCTTTGGCCCACCCCATGTGCCTAGGGTTGGGAACCCTAGGGTGGGGGGGCGCCCCACCTGGCTTGGGGGGCACTCCACCCCTTGGCCGCCGCCCCCCCTAGGAGATCCCATCTCCTAGGGCCGGCGCACCCCTAGGGGGCCTATATAAATGGGGGAGGGAGGGGGTAGCCGCACCCTTGAGTCTTGGTGCCTCCCTCTCCCCTGCTACACCTCTCCCTCTCGTAGTAGAACGGCGAAGCCCTGCTGCGGTGACCCTTGCATCCACCACCACGCCGTCGTGCTGCTGGATCTTCATCAACCTCTCCTTCCCCCTTGCTGGATCAAGAAGAAGGAGACGTCACGCTGACCATACGTGTGTTGAACGCGGAGGTGCCGCCCGTTCGGCGCTAGGATCTCCGGTGATTTGGATCACGTCGAGTACGACTTCCTCATCCCCGTTCTTTGAACGCTTCCGCGCGTGATCTACAAAGGTATGTAGATGCAATCCGATTACTCGTTGCTAGATGAACTCATAGATGGATCTTGGTGAAACCGTAGGAAAATTTTGTTTTCTACAACGTTGCCCAACATTTTTTACTACTAGTTTCATGGCCCAACTAAGCCACTTGCAAGCCTAACCCAACATATATTGGCATGATACAGGCTTTGAGCCCACCCTCGAGTTTTTGTCTAGATTCGTCACTGGGTAGAGAGAAATACAAGGTCAATGTGTTACACTTTGATACGTACACGAAACAACGACGTCAGTAGAAGAATAGGACTGCTCAACCCTAGAAAACTAAATCAGCCTATGCCAGCTATGTTATGTAGCCCAATGGCTCTGGCACGAGCCCATAGACGCGCCTCCTGACGGATTTGTCTCGGTGAGTTGGTTGACGGAGAGGCACAAGCCATTGAAAATGCAGCCATTTCTATGCTTCTGGAGCTCCAAGTCATGAGCAAGACGAGGGAGTTGAATCCTTTGCGTGCGCAAGCAGGGGCGAGAGCGCTGGAGTGCTCCGACCGGTCCATGAAATTGTCTCTAGAGCTTGGCGGGGGAATCGGCAGCCTGCACCAAGAAAGCACGTCGAACCAGATTTGACGCGAGAATGAGCAGCGAGCGAGAAGATGTTGCATGCATTCCGGTTCTTGATCGCTGAGAAGGCACGCCGTGTGAGATGTTGTGGCGCGCGAGCCTAGCCGCAGTCCAACATCGGTCGAGAAGAGTGAGCCATAGGAAAATCTTGACGCGAAGTGGCACCCATGCCTTCCAGATCAAGCGCCAATAGGGATCAAGAACGGAGCCAACGAACAATTACTCGTAGCAGGATTTGGCAGTGTATTGGCCTGAGGAAGTCCAATGCTAGTGTATC